TCCACGCCCCGTTTAAGAGCCCCATGAACCAAGAAAAGCAGGTCAGCAAGTTACCCAGGAGGGTGGGATGGGGACATGGGGCCAGAGCCACCAGGGCCAGAGTAAGCTTCTGAATGGAACTTTGAAAGTGGTTTTGGGTTTTGATCCAGAGACAGACGGACAGACATGGAGAGGGACACAAGGAAGTTGTAAAGGAGTAGAGGAGCCATGGATTCGACACACTGATGCTCACAGCTCTCTTTGGAGGGTGCAGATGGGGACCCAGAAGTGAAGGAACTTGCCCAGAGCCGGGCAACAGGAGGTGGCAGGCCCCAGAGAAGACAGTTCCATTTGGATCCAGAGCCCTAACTCACTCCCATACACCCTGCTATTCACAGCGCACCTGAGGCTGGCGGACACCCTCCAGTAGCAAGGGAGAAAGCTCAGGGGAGAAGCAAAAAGCTGGGGCTCAAGAACCAGATGTCCTGGATTCTTCACTGATTTGTGTGACTTTGAGACATTTACTTAATTTATTTGCACCTTTGTTTCTTCATCCGTGAAATGGGAACAATAGTCATTACCTCACAGAGCAACTAAATGTGATTCAAAACCACCTGAAGTGCATAGAGCACCATGCCTGGCATGGAGTATCCTTGACGATGCTTCTGCTGTCGTTATTAGCAGAGCTTTCTTCTTGAATCAGCAAAGGCATCCGGCCCAGCCCCGCCCTTGTCTCTGGCCAGAGAATTCTGGTGGGTGAGCGCATGGGGGGCACACCAGGGTTCAGAGGGCTGGCTTGCCCTTAGCCCCACGGGAAGATGGGTAACAGGCTGTGCACACTGCAGGTGAGAAAATGGTTGAAGGAACAGCAGCTTCAGCAGAATCTACTGCCTGCTGGGGGAGGAGGAGGGGGTGGGTCTCTGCTCAAGGATCAAGGTGGCCCCACCCTTTGTGCCAATGAGTTCATGTCCAGGGTGAGAAAGGTGGTGGAAGTTTCATGGAAAGAAAGTGAGCCTGGCATCAGACAGACTTGGCTGGGCAGGCTGGGTGCCACCCCACCCCCCAGGATGCCACTGATGTAGACTACTCGGGGAGTGCTCTTAGAATTATGCAATCCTGCACACCTTGCCTGGGTTCCAACCTGGCTCTGCCACTCCCTAGTTCTGTGACCTTGAGCAAACCACATACCTTCTGGAGGTCATCTATAACGTAAGACCACCACACTCATCCGTGGCTGTAACTACAAACATGAAAACACCCAGCTCCTAAGAGCTCCTCAGTAAACAGCAGCTTCCTCTCCCCAAGACCTTCCTTCAAGCCTCAGGGTAATAAAGGCATGAGGTATAAGGGGTGAGCCCAGCCTATACCAGGTGGAGAAAGCAAGAGGGGCAGGGCAGCTGAGACAGGTAAGAGAGGAGGAGCCCCCAGCCCATAGTCCCAGCAGGCAGCCTCTTCCTTTGGCAAACAAAGAGTGGGCAGGTGTCCCGAGGAGGGTTGGATGCCAGGCACCACCTTCCCTGGAGGCTTCCTTCTGGCTAATGATTCCCCCATCCTCCCTCCCCAGGCCTGCGGAGAGGCTCTGTCAAGGAGGGTGGGCCCCTGACATCTGGGGTTGTCTGACTTCATTCCTGCTCCAGGT